CAAGGGCCAAAATTAATCATATTCGCAGTTGGGACAAGCAGCTAGGTCGGCCTTTATGTTGCACTCGGCGCTGGACGGTCGACGACGGGCGTTGCTTCGAGAGTTATGCTGCACGGGGGGGGCTCACCCTCCACAGAAAAAAGGCGCACAAGGATGATGCGATACGCTTGCACGCCATAGTTGATATCGAGAAGTGTTTCGACTGAGTACTGCGGGGCATCGTCTTGCACGCAGCCATCAAGCACGGCTTTCCAGGAGCACTGGTATGCTTAGCGCTGCGCGTGTACACGTATGAGCGACGATTGGTCTGGGCAGGGGCTTCCTCGGAACCAGCGTTTGCTTCACGTGGTGTCCTTCCTAGGTGTGGCATGGCCATGTTTATATTGCAGGTGGTGCTGCTCGCGCCTGTTGACTCACTGCATGGGAGTTCTGCGCGCACAGATCGCGCGCTGCACGTGTACGCAGACGACTTGACGATCCAGGTTCAGGCGACCTGGGAAATATATTCGAGCACGCATGTTACGTCCTGAAGGGGGTGGTCGACTTGCTCGGGCCCCTCGGTTTAGCCCCCGCCAAGCGCAAGATGACCGCGACTTGTGCGCACATGTCGGTGGCAAAACTTGCGCGTCGTGCTCTCAAGGGTTACGGGCGTCGCCCGCTAACTGCATTAGAAGTCCCGGGGATCGTGGTCACGTCTGGGGGTGCCATCCAATATCAGCGTCTCAAGGCTCGGGTGCGTAAGATGCAGGGGCGATGTCCTCGGCTTCGCCGGCTTCGTAAGGCAGGGGCCCTCACGGGCAAGTTCGCCAAGTCTGCTGCACCAGCTGCTCTAAACTATGGCGCATGGGGTCCATGGGGCCCCTCCTGTGGTAATAAATTCCATGCGCAAGGCTCTTCGCAGTGCGGGGCGCGAACCTGGCAAGGCGGGGTCGGCGTGGATATCATCCTTTCTTCATGGCGGGTGCCCTCAAGACCCTCAGATTACAGCCTGGGCAGATCCAAAGTATCAATGGCGTCTGCTTTGCTGGGACCCTTCCCAGCGCCTGTTACTACAGCTTGCTTGGAAGCGCCAGGTCTCGGTGATCCTCGCGCCCAGGCAACCTCGGGGGGGGGTCTCTGGCCCCGCTGGGCATTTCGGTCGCTTCGACGGGGGTCATCATCGGCGTTCGCGGCTCGTACCGATCAAGGTGAACATCTCGATCTTCGTCAGGCGTCGCCTCTCGCTGTTCGGGACATGGTTCGTGACAGTGCCGCGCGACGTCTCTGGCAAGATTGGGCAACGCGACCTGAGCGGGACATCTCGCGCAACCTGGACCCCGCGACCCCATCGGGCACTGGCTGGAACCCATCGCGTCGATCTTGGGCAGGGCCCGTCGGGAAGATGATCTTGAAATGCCCTGCGCTCTAAGCAATCAGTCTGCAGGCACCCTCAGGGCCTTGGTTAATGGAGGGTTGTGGACTCCCGCGCGCAGGCTCATGCGCGGTTATATTGACTCGGCCCAGTGCCCCCTATAGAGTTTTCAGCTGCCCTTTTTTCACATGCCCTGGGCGTGCGCATGCAATGAAGTCGGTCGAAACGAGCTGTACGATGAGCAGGACAAAGCAGTGCTTCCGCCACCCGATGCCACATCGCGGTTTTGGTCACGCGGTCTGCTGATCAGGTCGTTATGTCCAGCGCTACATCCTCGGGGCGACACGGGCACGCGGCAACCCATGTACGGGGACTGTCAGGTTATATGTTGGGACGTGTTTTCTGACGGTGCCTGTTGGAAGTACCACGACTGGCCAGAAGCTTCTCGGGCTGGTTGGGGGTTCGCGCAGATTGGGGGGCCATCGCATCATCTCATGCGTGCACGTGGCACTCCCAGGCCCCGTTCAGACTTCTCCCAGGGCCGAGCTCTACGCGGTGGCCCAGATCCCCAGGGTGGCCCTGTTGCCGCCCACCATCTACACAGACTACAAAGACCTACCAGACGGCCTCGCTCGCTGACCTTCCTGGGGGTGCTCTCCACGGCGCCCAAAATGTGATCTGCGGGGTGGGATTTGGCGTAGGATCAAGGACTTAGGAGGCCTCGGTTCGGAGCTCCAGGCTGCCATGCCAAAGGGCACATGAAAGGCATGCCTTTTGAGGCCCGAGGTAACCGATGGGCTGATTGCGCGGCCTGTCAGGGCCGAGATTTACACGCTGCATCTTCTTCGGACGCCCTATTCATGAAGCGGTTTTACAAAGCTGCGAACAAGCCCTTGGCCTGAATGGCCAAAGATCACACTAAGTGTACGACTGAAGCTGTAGTTCTAGTCCAGGATCGGTTTGAGCAAAGGCGCAAGGCGCGCTCCTCTGCTGCCGCGCGATCGGCTGCCCCCGTGGACCCTGGCCAGTTGCGTTTTTTGTGGGTTTGGTGATGATTTGCGCTGCTCCGTCCGCAAGATACAAGCGAAGCATCGGTGCAAGATACAAGCGAAGCATCGGTGCAAGATACAAGCATCGGTGCAAGATACAAGCGAGCGTTTTTTGGGGAGATCTGACAAGCAGCGCAAGATACAAGCGAAGCGTCGGTGCCCTGCGAAGATAGCTCTTTGCGATCGGTTCCTTCGTGCTGGTGCTGAAGACTCTTGTGGGTCTCAAGGATCGCCCCAGGACGGGGACCCCAGACAGGCGGAAGTCGCTGCCGCTCCTGAGCGCCCGATCGGCGGCGTGGGGAGGGCTGCCACGTCGCCGCCGTCGATGTCGATGGGGAGGGGTGTCCTTCGCATGGTTCGGGCACGTCTGGCCTCGCCTCCCTCAAGGAGGGCGCAGGCCAGACCCCTGAGCAGCGCGACCCCCGCACCTTTGCCCACATTGCATGCTCCCTCGGGAGAGGGGGCCTTTCAAGATTTAGACGACATGGTCGCCGAGGGGGCGGTCTTCCAAGAGGAGGGGAGAATTCCAGGTAACGATGTTGATTGAGCTCAGACTGTTAGGTCTGGAGCTCCCATCGGTCCTGCCGGTCCTCCCACCTCCGCCTCTACCTCCCCCGCTGCTCCTCTTGCTGCGTCTGCGAGACCTGCTGCTGCTCGCGCTCGCCCCCGCTCCGCCTCCCCAGCGCGCGTCGTTCGAGCCCGCCTGAATGTTCCTCCCTCCCCCCTCGACGGAGGGAGAGGGGTCAGCTTCGCTCTTGCTGGAGACGGCGGCCTGCACGACGCCGCACAGGACCTACAGGCACGTCCCGCCTCTCTGGTTCGGCCATGTGGGGAGCCACCGCCGAAGCTTCGTCGCGTCCTGGGGCCGCGAGGAGGGTCGCAGGCCCCGAGTTCCCAACCCCTCGAGCGCCTCCCTCTTTCGGGGGATATCCCTCCAAAGAGCGCCCGAGGACACGACTTGCGAGTCTTTCCTAGTACAGTTACTATTTGTCTTACTTGTGGGGTCATCTCGGCAGATAGTGTTTCTTCTTGATGAGTGTCGCCCACCTCCGTGTAGCAAACGCGGGCCCCCCCCCCACATGTTTCGGTTTTCGACGAACCGACACCCCTCGGACTTGCGTCGCCGAGGAGCAATTTCAGGGCAGAGGAGGTTCCAGGTTTCTGATCCCGAGGTGCACTGGTTGCAGCTCGAATGATCAACTCGTTGGTCGTTTTTCCCAAATCAGAGCTTCAATTTGTTCATAAGTTCGCCGCTGCGCTCGGGCCCCCTCCTTGCCGTGATTCTTCGATGGGCGATCGGGTGGGGGTCGCCACGAGCGCGGGACCTGGGTCATAGGCTCGGGTTCGCTTTCGAGTGGTCGTTGGCGCGCCGCGCGACGGTTCCTTCTTCAGCTTGCGTGCTCCTCTTCCTCCTCCTCCCCCTCCTCGTCCTCCTCATCCTCCTCGCGCACGCCTTCGTCCTCATCCTCCTCGTCCTCCTCGTCCTCATCCTCCTCATCCGCCTTCGTCCTCATCCTCCTCATCCTCCTCGTCCTCCTCCTCATCCTCCTCGTCCCCCTCGTCCTCCTCTTGTTTCCTCCTCCTCCTCCTCCTCTTTCCTCCTCCTCCTCCTCCGTTTCCTCCTCCTCCTCCTCCTCCGTTTCCTCCTCCTCCGTTTCATCTTCTTCCTCCGCCTCCTCCTCCCCTTCTTCTTTATCCCCCTCCTCCTTCTCCTCCTCCTCCTCTTCTTCCTCCTCCTCCTCCTCCTCCTACTCCTCCTCCCCATGTTTCTCCTGTCCTCCCCTCCCCTTCCCCACCGCCCCCCATGCCGTCCCCCCACCCTTCTCCTCACACCTCTCCTCTCCCCCCTCCTTCCCCTTCCCTTCTTCCCCTCCCCCGTCCACCCCAGGGGTTTCCGGAGGTTTCCACAGGTCTCTTTTGGGAAGAATCCCGAGGCCAGAAGGATACCAGAAGGAAGGAACAACAAAAAACAACTATCCCAGATGACCGAGGAATTCGACAAGCGATGGGCGAGGAGGAGGCGGAGGGAGGAGGGGCAGGAGGAGGAGAAAAACGAGGAGGGCGACAAGCGAGGAAGTTGTAGAGGAGGGCGAGGCGGGCGAGGAGTCGGAGGAGGAGGGGGCAGAGGTGGAGGGGGGCTCTGCCCCAGATGGCGCATCCCTCTCAGGCCGGGAGCTTCATCATCCGAGTCTCTTCCCCGCCCTCCTCGTCTTAGCTGCCCTGATACGCCCGTTTTGGCATGCACCACCTGCCGTGTTCAAAACGTCCTATCTCACGTTGCGTGGTGGCCCCACGTGTCGGCCTGCGTCGTGGCGAGCGTGTCGCGCCAGACGCACGTGATCAGACCACGCGCTGAGCTGCGCCTCAACACGCCACGGGTTCCGCGTTGCGCATCGGGGCGGCCACGCTCTTCCGTCCAATCTCGCACACTGCATCGTCCGCTCTCCCCGCTCTCGCCCACGCCCATCTCCGTCCAATCTCGCCCACTGCATCGCCACGCTCTTCCGTCCAATCTCCGCTCTCCCCGCTCTCGCCCACTGCATGGCCGCCCGGCTTCGGCGGCCCGCGCGCGGCCGGGCGCGGAATTTGCGCCCGGAGAGGCGGTGCTTCGCGGCGGCTCGGGGCGGCAGCCGCGGCGCTCGCCACCGCCGCGCGCGGGGAGTGCGCGCGGCCGGCGGGGACGAAGGCGCCGCGCGCCTCGACGGGGAGGGGCGGAGGGGCCCCACTTTTGTCTCTCCTTCTCTTTCTCTCTCTCTTTCTTTTCCTCTATTTTCTCTCTCTCTCTCTCTCTCTCTCTCTATCTCTCTCTCTCTCTCTCTCTCTCTCTCTCTCTCTCTCTCTCTCTACATATATATATATATATATATATATATATACATATCATTATCTCTCTTTCTTTCTCTCCCCCTCCTCCCGCCCTTCCCCCTCCATTGCGCCCCGCACACGTTTCGTGGCTCCATGGCTCCAGTGGAGCCGACCGCACGCGTCTGGCCCACCCGTTTCGGCACGCCCCTCACCTATGGGAGGCTCCACCGAAAGTCCCAGGGGCGCCGCCCGCATGATTCCGACCCGCCCATGTCTGCACACCCCTCACGAGGTTCGCGGCCCCCTAGGGAGCTCCACCGAAGGTCACACGGCCGCCGCCCGCAGAATTCCGACCCAACCTTTTCGGCACTCACTCCTCACGAGCATCGTGGCCCCATAGGGAGCTCCACCGAGGGTCACACGGACGCCGCCTGCATGCGTCCGATCCATTCATTTCGGGACACCCCTCACGAGGATCGTCGCCCCATAGGAAGCTCCACCGAAGGTCTCAGGGGCGCCGCCCGTATGCGTCTGACCCACTCATTTCGGCACGCCCCTCACGAGGATCGCGGTCCCATAGGAAGCTCCACAGAAGGTCACAGGGACGCCTTCCGCATGCGTCCGACACACACACACACACACACACACACACGTGTCGGCACACCCCTCACGAGGATCGTCGCCCCATAGGAAGCTCCACCGAAGGTCACAGGGGCGCCGCCCGCATGCGTCCGACTGTTCACCCCTCGCCCGTGCGCGGAATGGCGATTCCATCACTGACCCCAGGGACGGTGGCGAGAGTCTCATGAGGCGGCCGTGTCGGCCCTCGGATCGCTTGGGCTCCAGGGCTCAAACCGGCTCAAGGGCTCCAGGGCTCCAGGGCTCCACCTCCCTATAACCAACATCCCATCCTACTCACTTTTTACATCATCTCACACGGCATTAGTTCTCTCTTCTCGTTCGCGTGCGTCGACAACAGATGGCATGGGTCGCCGGGGTATTGGCAGGTATCGATTGGGGCGCGGTGCTACATTGTTGGATTGTGGGCTCGGCGGCGGAAGGTATAGGTCGATGGGCAGGCCATGCGGCACGCATCACAACAACATTCCTTTCGCACCTATCCCGCGAGTGCCACCTGGCGTCAGTGCACGCGGCGGCAAGATGTGCCGGGCAGCAGCCGCAGTACGTTGCGATGCCGATGCCTGGGTTTGCGCCGATCTCGCTCGCATGGGGCTGGTTTGCACTGGGAGCACCTTCGGGGCTATGCATAGGCATCTTCTGGATGACAATGATGATGGTATGGTGTGGCTGCGCGCGGCAAAACGGCGGCGCCGCCCCACCCCTGTCCCTGCCCCTCCCTTGGCCTACGCCGAGGTAGCATTCACAACTCGATGTGCTCCGGGCGCTCAGGACTGGGGGCCACGGAGCCCTCCGCAGCATGGCGGAGCGCAATGGGAGATCCGAGACGGATTTCTTGTACCATTTGGCTGCTATCTCCCCGCCGCACTTCGGCGGGCTAGCACCAGGCGGGTCTGGGTACAGGTCAGATTAATAGTTATGGCCCTCGCGCGGGGCGGGCAGGCACTTGCACAGCTGCATCGGTGGAGGTGGAAAGTTAGCGCGCGGGTGCAATAAATGGTGCGGCAAATCTGGGGAGAAGATTAGTTTCGAAAACTATGCCGGCATACGTGACCATGGGAAGTATGATGACGCTGGTGTATCCCAACCAGCGCGCGTTTCATTACAAATTCGCAGTGGGTTTGCATGTATCGACTCGTTGGGTAGTCGGTATAGCGCGACGGCTGCAAGGCATAAGTTTGGTATTGCGTGCACCTTGGTGGATTACAGCATGTGCGGCTGATACAGCACATATGATTACCAAGGGATCTAGATGCGCATTGGATACAACGGTTCGGGAGGCAAATGAGAACGGGAATGCTGAAGTTTATTCTTATTACACCCCACCTCTCCGATCTATTCGTATGGCCACTGGCAACCTGCACTCCCCGATCCCAGCTCCTCAATATCATGATCGCCTTCGACCTCTCGTGTCTCTAACTTTGGATCTGATTGTGCTTCCCATGGGCCCCCGCGGCAGATCCGATACAAATTCCATTAGCAAATTTACAGGCAGGCGTCATTTTCCTGTCGACCCGTGTCGATTTCCGATTCCCGCTCCGACTCCGGGTACCACGGGCTCCCAGGGCAATCATTCCGCAGATAACCAACCCAACGGCAGGTCCAGGGAAGACCCCGACGGATTCGACCTGAATGGATATCAGATTCTGGCTTTGACTCCAGCTCTTGCACGCACCTATGACAGATCCGAATAGCAATTCCACTAGTAGAAGAGCCAATGACAAGCCCCAAGGAAACCCCAACGTTTTCGATCCGCATCGATTTTTCCGACGCCGGTTCTGTCTCCGAGTTCTATGGGCCCACATAACAAATCCGATAGGAATGCCGACGGTGCAATCAACAGGAAAAACCAGGCAGGCCCCAATAGCTTTGAGCAGCATCGGTTTCCGACTCTGGCTCTGACTCCGGCTCATGCGCGGGCTCCCGCTCCAAATCTGAGAGGCCCAATGGCAGGTCCCGAGACATCGTGCATCAATTCCCGATTTTTGGTTCGATTCCGGCTCCCGCGGGCTTTCCCACAATATATCCGACACGGGTTTTGGAAATGTATTGCAGGTCCCCCGACTCCAATGACACCAAAGTTGTCGTAGATTGTAATGCAAGATCTTCTTATAATATCGGCTCCGCTCACATCTTCAAGATCGGCAAGTGTTATCATTACAGATACCTGGGCGGGCGTCCGACTCCAGCACAATTGATCCCGAGCAAAGGACTTTTGAAATTTGTTATGGCTGAACCTTTTCTAGCAAGAAGTCCGGCTACGTTTAACCAAGGGTTCTTGCGAATATAACATTTAGAAATAGATTGGGGTATGCCTGTTTTGAGCACGCTTAATCACATCAGTCTTTAGTGCAGACGACCATACACACCAACCTTCTTATTTACAATTGCGGTTCGGTCTACGGTTTGGTGTACAGACAGACATAAACCAGGCGTGTACATGGCGCATCGGCATTCAAAAATTGCTTTGAATTTCGCATTAGGACGCGTCGTCAACACACGCCAAACGCGCGTCAGAATGCATGGAGGCAAACGCGCCAAATGATGCGCATTGAGGAAAACACAAGACACGCCAAATGCGTGCAGGCACAGGGAAGGAGGAAGAGGGGAGGGGGAGGATAAGGCAGAGGAAAGGGAGGGCAGGAGGGGAGGCGAAATTAGAGCTACATATGTTCCATGCACGCGCGCGCAACGAGCCCAATGTTGTTTGGGTATCCCAGGGTCTGCGTTTGAATTTTCCATTGTCTGGGTTCACGCGAGCTTGGCATGTACGTGAAAATGTTAGAGGGCAGGGCGCAAACGTTATTGTACAGCTTGGTAGTTTGGTTCGCCAATCAAGCACAACTGCACTCAGAGGGGGCTGGGATGTTTTTGTCCGCATTCGAACTTTTTGAGATGAATGAAGATGGGATAGACATGGAAACCGTCCAAACGACGTCTGTCGGCTTGCATCAACTACGTGTACATATAAGAAGTTTTTGGCAGCACGACGTATTATAAAGTTCCCGCTGTTTGTGCTTGGGTATGCTTACATTCGACCAACATACTTCGTATCGTGTTTACAAATTCCTTTCGTCTCTTCAACTTGTTTAGTAAGTTCTGACGTTGTAGACGAGCTTGAGATCTGAAGTAAATTGTCGGTTCCATTGTTTAGATAGTGTACACGACGCTTATTCCATATAATATCACATTTGGATGTGCCATGTGTCCATTTTTTATCAGGAAACGTATTCGAGAAGTGATTCATCCCCAATTATTATTACCAGTGTCGCAATTTGACCCAACAGTGCAAATGTTGGAAACAATATTACCAAAAACATCGGCACTGAGAAAAACATCGTGAACCTTCCGGTCAGCTTCCTCAGTTTCCCAACATAATTTTACACCCATCCGTCCCCCCTTCATCATATTTGTTCATTTCCTCTTGAATGCAAAGTTTGAGTTTTTGTTAGCCAGACAGCGAAAAAATAAAACAAGTGGCACGCGTGCCATGGCTCTTGCACAAAGGAGTTGCGAAGGACAGGAGGCCCCCGCCTCCTTCTTCCAGGAGAGGTTTACGAGGAGCCAGGAAGAAAGCGGAGGAGGAGGAGGAGGACGACGACGACGATTTCTGGGCCTGGCCTGGTTTCCACGAGCCACGAACGACCACGACGAAAATACAGGGTTCCGTGGCCCAGGGGGGCTGCCCTGGGAAGCTTGGACGGAGGGGTGCTCCCAAGAGTTTCCACGGGGGGTGTCCCAGGAACGAAAGACGACGACGAAAATAAAGGGTTCCGTGGCCGAGGGCAAGGGGACGAACGACACGACACGAAAATGAAGATATCCTGGGCCCAGGGGGGAGCCTGGACTGGGGAGCTGGGTCTGGGGGGAGGGCAGGGGGGGGGGCAGGGGGACGAACGACACGACACGACACGAAAATAAAGATGTCCGAGGCTCAGGGGGGCTGCCCTGGGAAGCCTGGGCTGTGGGGGGGCAGGGGTTCGAACGACACGACACGATACGAAAATAAAGGCGTCCGAGGCCCAGGGGGGCTGCCCTGGGGAGCCTGGACGGGGGGAGGGGCAGGGGGGGGCAGGGTGACGAACGACACTAGACGACACGAAAATAAAGATGTCCGAGCTCTAGAGCACAGCTGTGCAAAAGAACGAACCAATACATATTGTTATATTGTTATCTTGTTATCCGGCGTTCTTCTGTCAAATGTCCGCTCCCTGATGCTGAAAAAAATGCCGTTCT